CTTCAGGAACATCAGGAAAAGTGAGTTTTGAGTTTCAGCCTGAAACTTTGCATGTATATAGGCCTCAATGAGAATAGTTTATTGTGAATGTTTCAGATTTTTTGGTTGCTCCTAGTTTGAGATAAGAACATCGGATCCGTTGGGGTATATGAGCAATTTTATGATAATTGTATCTTAGGATTTATGCAACGAAAAAAGCTGAAACTTTCACAATAAAGTATTCTCATTGAGCCCTATATCTATGCAAAGTTTGAAATTCAAATTCAAAATTCAATTTTCCAAGTGTTCCTAAGGAAGATCACAGCTCTCTTTTCTTAAACATACAGTAAAAAGGCAGTATCTTAGTAATAATAAGCTAGCGGTACGAACTTTTTTCAGAGAATTCATAGATCGTTAGGATCTACAGAATGCGCATATGCTCGACTTAAAAGCGATGTGACAGTTGAGAATGCTCCCTCGTAAGACTAGGATTCATTTTTGAAAATAAGACGGCCCGAGAGAATGCCTATAACTTTTGAAGGAAAGCTGATAGAGACCTACGGTTTTCATTCTTTTGTAAAGCACACCAGGGCATATAGTAGTACCAAATATCAGACCTACAGATAAAGTTTAACATAGTATATATTTCTCTGCAATATTCACGACGCTCTCGTTTCATAATAATACGACGAGTTTTAATTTTCAAATAGTGAGATCGATAGGACAGATCGAGATCTACAATTCTAGAGCAACCCCAGATCTTCATCTCATACAATTCAAAAGTTATAGGCATTCCTTCGAAATGCCTTATCTCAAAAAATGGATATTAGATCTTTATCTGGGCTATCATCGATCTCACTGTTTGAAAATTAAAACTCGTCGTATTATTATGTAACGAGAACGTCGTGAATATTTCAAAGAAATATATACTATGTTAAACTTTATCTGTAGGTCTGATATATGGTACTACTATGTTCCCTGGTGTGCTCTAGAAAAGGAAGAAAAGCGTAGGTCTCTATCAGCTTTGTTTCAAAAGTTCTAGACATTCTGTCGGACCGGCTTATTTCCAAAAATGTATACTAAGTCCTAATATATCCGAATAAAGATTATTTATATGTAAATTTCAAATTTTAATCACAATCCAGATAAATTAAAATCATCAAAAATTCTCAATTGTTTTTAATAGGAAATTCTTAGTAGGATAAGAGTTGACAAAACAAAAATAAATATTATTCAATGATTCTTAGTGTAGAATATACTTGTGAACATTAAATAAGATTGTATTAGTTATAGAGAGAGTTTTTCATGGTCTATTTAAGTATTCAATTGAATAGATCAATATAAAAGCCAACATAATATTGATAATAATAATATACGAGCTAAAAATCGCCTATTATCTACATTGTTGATTTATATTGTTTTATCTCTTTGACCAATGTCATCCAAATATTTTTTTATGTTGATTTTTATTGAAAACATGCCTAAATACTTTTATCATAGTTTAGAAAAAGTTTTTGTCACAATAAATAGTTCGTTCTCAAGGTATTAGATAAACAACAAATATGTATGTTTTTGGAAGAAAGTTGAAACAGTCTCATTATTAAAAGTAAATAATTCAAGATGAACACTCTCATTTAGGCTAAATACTTTTGGCGTATTATAAAGAACATGATATATGTTCATTTAAAAAGTTTATGGGTAAAATAGACAGATTTTATTTTCCTTGATAAACAATATCATTTGTCAAAAAACGTAGTGAAATGGTGATTATTTCAAAGTAAAAATTCCTAAACATGAATCTTTCTGATACCTGTTTTAATTCTAATATACTCGTATTAATAGAGTAATTTCTATCTTAAAACTAATTTATTAATTGTAAAAATTCATTCTCAAACATCGCACATTGTATAAATATGAAAGTCAGTTTACTCTTTATTCCACTAAATAACACTTGTGCTGCTTTTTCGACTAGATTGAAGAAAATTTATAATATGCATTAAATATAAGATAAAAACATCTAGAGAGGTTTACAATAGAAATCAACAATGAAGATAAAAGGCTATTTATGGTTGGTATATATCAATTATTGATCTTATGTTTGCCTTTTATGGATATATTCAATTGAATACTTAAATAGACCATGAAAAACAATTTCTAACTAACACAAATCTTACTTTATATTCAAAAGAATTTATCGTGCGTTAAAAATGATTGAATGAAATTTTTTCCTATTAAAATAGTACGAATACGATAACTCAGGTCAATGATTCCGACGAGAAGGCTCTAGAAAATAATAGAAAAGCGAAAAGAGATATCTAATGATCGTATCTAGTTTTCGACCCTCGCCCCATGAAAAACTATGGCCGTTTGGTCTGTGAATTGACATATATTTAAGAATTAATTATTCGAAGAACAAGGGTAAATTATTTTACGAATCCACCAATAAGATATATTAATTGACGAGTTTAGCCAAAGGGATCATTATTATATACAAAAGGTTAAATGTTTTATGCTTGAAGAAAAATGATTTATTATTCTTTTCAGAAGGTCCCATTATTCTTTGCATAGAATTTGAGTAGTTAATGTTTTCTTCGAAAATATTATTTCAGTGAGACACAATGATAGACAATTTAATTCTTTTTTAGTGATATAATCATTCTGATAGATGTCGAACATCTTATAAGATAAATAGAACCAGATAATCTAGTTCGATTTTATTTTCATTATTTAGTTATTACGATAAGAACTTTTAAAAAATTCTATGATGATTTATTAATCAATATAGTAGTACTCCCGTTAGTGTCATTAAACAGAATCTGTAGACTATTCCTATCATGATCAGACCATATTCAACATATCCTATAGCGAATATTTTCGCATAAAATATTTATATTTTTCAAAAAGAGACCAATTTAGTAGATTCGTTTATGATTTTCAATGACAAGGCAAACAAATACATGAGATTATCATAGTGAATATGATCAATTGTTGATTGATCGTATATCGAATTAAAATAATAATCACTAATTTCTAGGATAAACACACATAACTGTCACATATTGATGTTTTTTCGTTTGATATATTGATATATATTTAACTCTGTTTGATAAGATAAAATAATGTATAATTCTCTATGAATAAAAGTGTACTCTTTATTTTCCGAGATGAAAACGAACTGATCGATAATATATGAATTATCTTTAAATAAATTATATTAAAATAAGAAAAAAAGAAAAAAAGGCAAGTTGTTATTTGGCTTCACTTATATCTAAGAATATCGTTGACGAATTGAACTATATTTTAATAAAATACATACTAATCTAGATGAAGCATTAGACTTATTTACGAAATAAATAAACAAAGTTTTCAAAATGATTATCGATCAATGTTATTAATATAATAACTTGTCTTACTTATTCTGTTTTCATTGATAATAGCTTGAATTAACTTATATTATTCTATTCATGTTGTTATTTTAATAATTGTCGGACATTTAATGTTAAAAAAAAAAATCCATAATTTCGTTTAATTATGTTTTTCTCGAATACTTATGCTGATAGTTTTCCTTTATTTTACGAAATAAATTAATGAATTTAAGTTAATTTAGTTTTATTTTTCTTCATTTCGTTATTTCGATTGTTATCGTTGATTTTAAGAAGAAAATCGAATTATTAAATTAACATTGATTATCTTGGTTTTAAATAAATTATTTTGATAATTGTCAACCATAATAGAAGAAAAATTCTATAGGTTAAGGTTTACTTTTATTTTTTTCTTCGTTGATTTTCATTGACATGAAATTTCTTATAGAAATAAAATGATAAAAACAGTTTATTTTAGAGAAATCGAATAATATTCTATTGTTATATATATATGTTCACAGAATCATTGTCTTTGATGATAATTAATTTATTTCTCATCAACAAAATAATCTTTATTTTAATTGTTTTATGCTGATAGTTGGGAAATGTTTTATCATCGAAACAAAACAAGATAATATTAGTTTTTGTTTGTTTTATTCTTGTTATTGACTAGTTTTTATATTGTTGAGAATATGTTATCAGACGGAACAATGATTGAGTGATATAATATTTACAACTGTTTACCTAATCTAATGACTATTTTGAAATCTTTCTCGTAAAATATTCTCTATATCGTTAAATAAAAGTTTCTGTCATCGACCTTCGTACTTCTGATTAGTTAATTAATCGTCTTGAATGGTTATTTATAGAATTTCCTATAGTTACCTGTTGATAAGTTCTTGTTATGAATAATGAATCTTAATGAATTGTTTCAGTATAGATTATTGATAATTGGTTTTAAGTTTATTTGGAAATAATAATCAAGTTGATATATCCTTACGAAGGATTTGTGAAGATAAAACGTATATAAAACATATTCATATACCTTTATCATAAATCAGTCAAAGTCATAAACAAACTTCTGAAATCAGTTAGAACAACTGAATAGTTTGATAATATTTCTATATATATATATATATATCAATATAAACAATTGAACGAACGAAATTTTTTGAAAAAAAAAGTAAAGATTTTTCAAAGTTGTTGTTTAGTTTTTTTATAATTTTTTTTGTTTTAAAATAAAATAATATATATAATTATTTAAATATAGATTAGTCTTTTGGATCTTGTTACGCTCTATCAAACAATATAAAAATAAATAAAAAACAAACAAACAAAAAAAACCGAATTATTTATTTAATATTTTAATTTGTATCAATTATATTCTTGTGTTATTATTTGATTTTAATTATTCTAATATACTGGATTATTATTCTGATAGATAAATAATCAATTTTATTTGTGGAAGAAGAATAAAAAATGTTATTATTATTGAATTTTCAATATTTATTATTAAAAATAATATTTTTCCAAGTAAATATAGATAATGTTATATCAATTTGGCCATCATCAAACTCTTCTGACATATATTTACTTGGCCTTTTTCATTATACACAAAATGTATCTAACAATAGCGAATTGTCTATTCATTCTCGAGCTATGTTTAAATCAGCAGTAATACTTTCTCATATATATAATATAACAATTGATGGAAAATTAATTGGATGGAAAGAAGGACTAACTAGTGGTAATATAATAGATGGAATGAGTGATATATGTCTTTCAGTATCTAAATCAAATATTGTTGGTATTGTTGGTCCAGAATTATCAAGAGAAGCTATTTTAGTTGGTCCATTTGGTGAAAAACTTGGTATACCTGTTATATCATATGCAGCAACTGATCCTGATTTATCTGATCTAACAATAAATCATAATATTTATCGTACTGTTCCATCAGATAATATAGCTGCATCATCTCTTGTTAAATTATTTATTAGATTTAATTGGACATCATGTTTAATTATTTATCAAAATGATGCATTTGGATCTGGTGGAGCTAAAGCTATTAATGAAGCATTTAATAAAAGTGGAATAACAGTAACACAAATGATTATTTATGATATAAGTAAAAAAAATATTCGTGGTAATATGAAAAATTCTTTAATAAATAGTCCAACACGAATTGTTATTTTATGGGCTGAATCAATATATACATATTTTATATTGGAAGAGGCTCTTTATTCTAATGTTCTTGGTCCATATTTTACATGGATATTAAATTCTAAGATTTCATTTAATTATTTTAATAAAACAGATTATAAAAATTTAATTGGAATGCTTTTAATTGAATCAGTTGTTGGATCAGTTGTTAATGGTCCAATAAATATTGATTTATTAAATTCCGCATATAATATATGGAAAATATATGAAAATGAAACATATCCAGGATCGATTAACGTTAATTATAATGCATTATTTGCATTTGATGCAACATGGACATTAATTAAATCATTAGAAGAATTATGTTCATCAATTAAAAATAATTCTTTATCATGTTTATCATTTATTCAATCTTCATTCTGTTTTGATTATCGTTTTGAACAATATGATTTATTATTATCTAAACTTGATAGAACAGATTTTCTTGGTGTATCTGGTCCAATACAATTTACTAATAATATAACAGATAGAATAAATGGTTCATATTATTCTTTAAAAAATGTTCAACCATCTGTAAATGGTTTAAATTTTGTATCTGTATTAGAATATGCTAATCCTGGTAATTGGAGAGTACCTATAACAGAAAATGTTCTTATATGGCCCGGATATTCCTTAATACAACCTACTGATCGAGCACGTCTCAAAGGTGTCTATTTACGAATTGGAATAATTCAATCAGTTCCATTTACAATGGTTCAAAATGTAACAGATAATAATGGACAAATTAGTATACAATATATTGGTTATATACCAGAACTTATTGAAATTTTACAAAATAATATTGGATTTAATTCAACTCTTATATTAGCACCATCAAATAAAACATATTCAGAAATCGTTCTGTCAGTAAATAAAGGTGATTATGATATTGTCATTGGTGATGTTACTGTTACTTCTTCAAGAAGAGAATCAGTTGGTTTTTCCAATGCCATATTTGATAATTCTTTACGTCTTATGGTGAGAAAAACACCCGATTTTAATATCTATCTATTAGCATTCTTAAGACCATTTTCACGTAACTTATGGATATTAGCTCTTGGTACTTGTATCTATGCTGGCATTTTGATGTGTCTTATAGAAAGAATAGATAATGAAGATTTACAAAATCGATCAATTATATCTCAATTAACACTAAGTATATGGTATTGTTTTGGTAATATCGTTGGATATGGTGTAGAATTTAATGCTAGAACAGCTGCTGGACGTTTTTTAACTGCTGGTTTATATATATTAAGTTTAATATTAGTAGCATCATATACTGCTAATTTAGCATCAGAACTAACAATAGCTAAATCACAATTTATTATTTCGGGTATTGATGATATTAAACATGGAAAAGTAGCATTTAATCGTATTGGTATTCGCCTTGGTACAGCTAGTGAAGATTATTTTACATCAGAAATATCTAAAGGAAATCGAAATTTTTATCCATTAAATTCTCGAGAACAATTATATGATAGTTTACTTGCTGGTATTATTGATGTATCGTTTTTGGATGAAGGAATTGCTGAATTTGTTACTAATAATATTTATTGTAATTTAACATTAGTTGGAGATGGTTTTGATTCAGGTGCTTTTGGTATTGTTACTCCTAAACAATGGGTATATGCACAAGATTTAGATGTTAATATTTTATTATTAAGAGAATCAGGTAAACTTGATTATTTAAGACAAAAATGGTTTCAAGTACAGAATTGTCCAGATTCAACAGCAACATCAACTGCTATTGAAATTGAATCAGTTGGTGGATTATTTCTCACTTTTTCAGTTATTACTTTTATATCATTTTTATTATTTCTATGGACTAAACGATTTAATATTAAAAATTATTTATTACTATTTATATCTGAAAAAAAATCATCAAACAAAGAAAAATACTCAATGAATACAAGCTCAAATGAAACTTCTCAACATCCACAAAATCATCAAACACCATTCAACGAATTTTCAAATTTTTAACCCGAAACTCTCTCTTTCTCTTTCTCTCTTTATTGATTGACAAAAAATAACTTTCATTACATATTTAACACATATATATTTACACAAGTGTTCTCTGCACATTTAACACAACTATACCACATCTTGTTCATTAAGAAGTTTATTAAAGAAGTTTGCACGATTTTTTGATATATCATCAAACAGGATATTATATATGTCGTTTTCTACAACACTTTAACAGCTACAGAATATTATATAAGAAATAAACTTTTATAACAAATGTTGACATGTTGCGCGAGTTCAAATACACTTGTTATAATTCTTGATATATGTATATATGGTCGGTAATGATAGAGATAATATTCCCTCATATGTTTTAAAATTCTATTGATAGAGTTGTAAGTATTGTTCAATGTTTTCTAATTAATAGTTTTTTATTGTAATCTTTAAAAAAACCCCAATTCGTAAATGTTTGTATAAAATTTTCGAAAAAAAAAATGTCTCTTATATAATAAAATAAGTAAATATTTAAGTGTAATAAGATGGATTTGAATGCTAATTGAAAGATAATATTATTTATTGAAATAGTTTAAATGGAAAAGAAAAAGAAAAAGAAAAAGAAAAATATTTAAAAATGAATGTCTTATTAATCAATTTGATCTCTTAAATAAGTAGCCATTTGTTGTTCTTCTTCATTAATATGTTCAGGAGGAAGAGCTGCACCATCTGTTATAGAAGGACGAGCATCTAACAAATTTTTTCTTTGATGAATAAAATAAACAAAATTTGAAACTATATAAAATAATATTGACATTAATAAACAAACAATTAATAATGTTGGAAAATGTTTTGGATTACGATCCATAACAAAACCTTAAATAAAAATAATTTATTTATCGAAAAAAATTAAATCTAAATAAAAATATTAAATTATTAACCAGCTATTTTTTGAAGTGTTATAGCTCCAACTGCTGATCCACATAATAGAGATGCAAGAAGCATTGGTACAACATTTAATCTTTGATTAAATAATCCAAATGATAATGGAAATATTGGAGAAAATACTAAACCAGTTGCCGAACCAAGTATAAATAAACTTGTACTTGTTAAACCAATAAACCATACAAATATAAACCAAGCTATTGCTAGACAAAATCCTCCAACCCAAACAATATCAAGACATATATTCACTGATAAAAATACAGATAATATTGCGCCCATTAATCGACCAATCTAGTTTTATAATAAACAATCTTTTCTTTTTTTTGTTTGTTTGTTTGTTTCACTTTTCAAATTTATTCTTATTTACAAATAATTAACAAAGAAAACAATTTATTTTATCAATAAAACATATCTTACAATATAATATCAAATATTATATTATCAATAATTCTTATTTATTTATTCTAGTAGATTATTTTTAACACTGATCATATATATACATTAGCAGTAAACGTGTTCTATTATTAAATATAAAGATCGACATGATGATATTGATCATATACCACCTTAATCATGGTCGGTCCTACACGGCCGTATATCAACCAATTACGACGCATAATGATAGCTGTTTGCCTTGGTCATGTACAACAATCGTTAACGATGATTTACGGCATATTACGGCCATTGCAAACGATGACCGTAAAAAGTTGCCGTTAACGACTAGCGTAGTAATACGGCGACTGTATATGCTCATCAGATAATATTGCAAGACATCATTATACCTCGACTGTCAATCGCTTAAGAAAGAATCATCGTTTTCTATCATACTTCGTCATAAACAGCTGTTAATGTTGACGAACTGCTCTTATCGAATATAAGCAACATGTGCTCGTTACCAGTTATACTTGTCGTTAGGTAACAATAGTTCTGCTTCAACTAAGTCGAGAAGTGTATGGATAGTGTGATGTGAGTGTAGGGTGTGAGTGTAGATCTTCTCCTCATCTGCAGCTACACCCACACTCGCACCTTGCATCAACGGATTTATCTACCATGACAGACTCTACTCGAAACTTTACAGAAGAAAGGCATTTTGAAATGGCCTTTTTACAAGAAAAATATCGAATTCAGTGGTATTTACTTAATGTTAATCATTTAATTCTCCAATTTCAATCGAAGTGTTAAATAAAAAACTTAGCATTAGTGCTAATTATCAAGGAATTCATTAACACAGTATTTTAACTAACTAAACATTCTCTAATAACGCGTTTGTCAAAAATATCAAGAGATAAATGAAGCTATATAGTTTTATTTCCAATAATTCGCGTTATAAATTGATTCTTTGTTGAGTACAAATCCTCATTCGCACTACAGAAGTTATGAGTGTCTTGGATAGCACTTGAAAACTTATAAGTGTCCTTCCTGGATAGCCTATGCAGAGTCATTGGTACCTCCGAGAGTAGCCCTTGACGATTCATAAGTATGCGTTTGAATAACGTCTTGAGAAGGCATAAGCACCTTCCATGGAGAGCCCTTGATGAGTCATCATAAGTACTCCTTGGATAGCCCTTGAAGAGTTAGAAGTATCATCCTGGATAGGCCCTGATGAGTCAAATGTATTCTCTCGATAGCCCCTCACGGAATATATATATTAGAATTAATAATAATATGAATTTAATACAACCAACAAAGGATTAATTAACTTTTATGCCAATAATGCTAAAGCTTTACGCTTATTGATTCATCCTAATGCAAAAGCATCAGCATTTTTTTTTCAATACTAAAGCTAACACGACACTCCTATTAATGCTATTAGATAACATGTCAACCATCGCGGACGGACTAGCCTCACCCTATATATATGACTGTCTCCATATGGCTCAGCTCTTTTCGATCTCGACTGAGATTGAAGTGAATAGACTTAGCAATCCTGAAAAAAAGCATTCATCAGACAGAAACTCCTGCAGGTATTAATTAAGTATCTATGAATCAAAATAAGCGTGTGTATCACGCTAGAAACATCCATACCTTCCAACCCACACCTGTACAAGTAAAAAATTTCTCATCTATCAGTAGAAAGCTGTATAAATCCTTCTTTCTGAAAAAATTTTTCAGAAAATCTTGTGCACTTTCCCAGAGCGTTCTAAGTGAAGCACCATTATATTACATATCGATAAACGCGATCGATACTGATCATACATTCTTATCTGTTTAACTTGACTTCTGCGCAGTAATCTGAGTTCTTTTTAAGAAAACGCCTATAAAGGCCTTCTTTTCGAAACTTTGTAAATAACGTCATTTCTTCATCCAAATGCATGGATTCTTATAGAAAAGGACATGTTAAGACCTTTTAGTGAGTAGCCGCTTTATTTTAGTTGCCTTCTATGAAGAAATCTAGTTTTTTCCGGAAAAGAGCATTTATAGCATTTTAGCGCTTTTTAAGGATTTCTTTTTGAGATACTTTAAAATTAGATAATTTTCAATCGAATTCATTGCATGTTAATAGAAAATGCAGTGTAACGTCTTCTCGGTTCATCGCTCATTGTAATTATGGACCTAGTTCTGCACACGTCAAAGACGTGCAACGGGAAATGGCAAGATCCGGTAGAATTTCAGCGAATTCTGGAAACAGGATTCCAAAATCGGTTGCGACCACTGCTTCCTGCTTAGTTTTCATCAACTTCTGGAATTCTAAGTGATATCCGGATACGATTGCCCGTAAAGGCACGGTTTCCGAAAACGATTTCGGCATCTTATGACGCGGACAGGATACGAGACATATACCATCGTTTCCGGTCCGTTTACGAAGCTCAGAGTCGACCCTTTTCAATTCAGCTGTACAGTGTGGTT